ATGATGATGTTATTAAATAAAATAACCATGCTGTTTGATAAGCACATACTTGAGCCGATAATGAGCGAGCACCAAGATGTGCAGCAAAGAATATACTTAATTCAATGGACCAAAATTCTGTCCTAAAAATTGGAACTTGAAATAAATCAGAATACTAATTCGATAGATATATTTACATGACCATCAATACCCCTGGTATTGATAATTTTAAATAAACATTCCATTCATCGAAACATGCTCGAGTTATTGGATGCCATGTTTCCTTATAAATTGATGAAACACGAATATATATCAGAGCACATAATGCAATTACTCCATAAGAAATAGTAATTGATAAAGGTACGGAACGTATACCCAGATGAAATTTATATAGAAAAAGATAATTTAAAAGAGCATTAATACCATTTCCAATTAAATTGATTATTAATAATGGCCATGTTTTTTCATTTGATGCTATATATTTTTGAAGTAACATTGAAAGACCATCGAATGGTACAGCAAGAAGAAATGAACGTAAAAAAATATCAGCTAGCCGAACAACTTCATGATCATGTTCAACTAATTTTAATGCAAATTTCTATAGAGTAAAAAACAATCGATAGTTATTAAAGAAATTTTTTCGTTAGTTCATATATGTTTAAAACAGATATTTATATTTAAATAAGTAATTACCGCATTAAGCATCAATGACCATGAGATAAAACATGAATATCCTGTTATTATTACCGCTCGTTGTACGGTTAAACCCATCTTACGTTTATTTCCTCCAAAGCATTGTGGTAATAATGTATCACAACCAAAATTAAGTCCAAGCATTATTGAATTGGCGATTAAAACATAAGTAGATAAGCCTAGAGCGCATGCATTTAATTCTAATTGACCATGTGCATGTCCTATAAATGCAAGTGAAACAAATGCTATCAACCATGAAGCAAGAACATTTCCCATTGCAAATGGAAACGTAATTTTCACTAATGTTAATGCTTCATTACGAAATCCAAGTGGAAAACATCGTTTCATAAACGATACTGATGTTGGTGTTGTCTCGGCCATCTAAATAATAAATAAAATGACTTTCAAAAAAATTGAATAGATTTATATTCGAAAGGTTATAATAGATACGGAAAAGGTCGATGAAAATGTTTGTTTTTATGTATTAATACTTGTGATAATTTGTTTTTGGTGCATAAATCTTGATCCACATCATTCGATAATTTTCCCAAGAGATTTTCGTTACATGTCATTTTTATTATTGATTTTTTTTGAGAAATTATTGTTTTTTTTATCTGAAAAAATAACTAAATATTATTTTTTTTCACTTTTTTTTTTCTTTAATAAATATTTGATAATTTATATTTTAATCTATCAATCAACCAATATAAATATTTATTTCTGAAATAGTACGTTTGTTATTGATTCTAATAAAA